TATAAAGTAGTGGAGAGTTATTTGTTCTCCATTACAACAGAATGCATTATCTTTAGAGGCACTACTGTCCATCAAATCTGCACAAAGTTTGACAATTTTCAATATCTGTAATTTTAGATAGCTATCTTTTTAATTTACTGACAATCTTCATATAAAATGCTCCCAAGCAACTCTGACCAAGCTGTTGCAATTTTATATAGTAGAGAAAAACCGTCTTTGGAATTAACTTGTTCTTGTTTCTTCACCCAATTAAATTCTATGTATTTCATTGTTTACTGGAATCAACAGGTTGGCGTAGGTAAGTAAAAAACTTACCTACCTCTACTGAACTTATTAACTTATATGCATACTAGGCATGCAAGTGAAGAAAACAAAACAATAGAGAATTAAAAAAAAACAATTAGCAACTGACTGACATGCCCTCTTTAAAGGGACATGCAACGTTTTCAGAAGTTTTACTTTGTTGTCTCATTCTGTGTGCAGAAAAAGCAGGGACATTTAATTTTATTTCTTATTTTCCTGCTTCCTCTTCCCTGTGTTTTTGATGCCTACATTACATGCACATCGTTTCTCACGCATAGTTCGCGTGAAACTGAGATGAGTTAATTAGTGGGTGGGTGAGAAATAGTTAAGCGGTGGGTAGTGGCTGAAGAAACTGCCCTAAATCAGAGGCATGCAAGAGAAAGCAAACTTTAGAGTAAGTTTATAAATATGTATTACATACTTTTCAAACTTTCTTTCTTTTAGTTTGTATATTTGTGTAAAAGTGGTTTCTTGCTGCGTAAAAAAAAAATTAAGTGATGCATATCCCTTTAATGTACTTTATGCTATATTCTTATCACATTGTTATTTCAGCTAAATATCAGACTAGTCAAGCACTTAATGCTATTTAACTAGATCCAATTCAAGCATTTCTAGCTAATAACCATGCTTCAGCGATGAATTTGTTGTGCTTCATAATATTACAGTAAACAAAAATATTACATGTAACTGTTTCATTTACGTAGCAAATTAATTTCTAGATCATCGTTTGCAATTCATATTTTATTGGTTGAATTAAAAAGACATATACAGTATGCTGAACAATATAGTCTGTAACGTATAAAACAAAGCAATTTAGTACATATTTTAGTAGTTTTCTAGATTTGTAGTTTTCTAGAAATCATATACAAGTGGGGCACACAGGGTGACAAAGTGGTATATCCAGGGGGGCACTAATAACACCTTCTTAAATATTGAAGAACACACATATTATATGTACACAGGCACACCACATGAAAACACAAAGATTGGTGCTTTGGAGCTCATTGAATGCTTAAATATTCCACACAATACTGAAAGTTTTATTGCTTTGGAGTTTGGTGTTTTACTCATGCACATAGGCTACTAAGAGTTTTTGCTGTGGACTAGCGGTGTGAGATATAAGAGTTTGCAGGAATCTATGATCTGCAAACTTTCTTTGTCTTAGGGATGACCATAACCACCTAGCAAAGCCAGTGGGTATGCAGCAGCCTTCCGGAGTCATATGCCAGAGCTGAAAAGGCTCTACACAGCAACAGCCTTTTAGCCAATCAGGTAATCAGGATAGCCGTGCTGAGCACGGGAATCCTGATTGCCTCAGATTTTTAAAATTGGGAAACTGTGGATGGTTAGCACATCCCACGAAGTAGGGAGTCCATGAGAATATCAAACTGACGAGACCGCATCCAATCCTCCTACTTAGGTGGATCCCTGGTTTGTTGGTCTTGTCTTGGAGTACGGCTATAGTCTGTAAAAAAACAAACAAAAACAAAAACAGAGAACAGTTATCAAAAGGCCGAATAAGCACCAAGTATGCTTAATTTTTAGAAAAACAAACTACCACCAGCAGGCAAAACTCTTAACTTAGAGGATGGTGGGACGGGCGCTATTGCTAGGTGGTTATGCCCATCCCGAAGACAAAGAAAGTTTGCAGATCATAGATTCCTGCAAACTCTGATTTGTCCTCCGGGAGGCATAACCACCTAGCAAAGCTAGTGGGTAGAATAGCACACACCTGGTGGTGGTCCTAAGAAACTGAAGGCGTTCAACTTCTGATGGCCTCCAGTAAAATCGAACAAAGGTTTTAATGGACAACCATCTTGCAGCTTTCAAGATAGTAGGGAGAGGAAGGCACTTTCCTGCTGCTTTAGTAGCCGAGGCTCCCCTAATTGAATTGCTTTTGAACACGGAATCATCAATACGAGCCAAAGACATGGCGGAAAGTATCCAGCCTCTAATTGTATTAACCTTGGCTGGACGAAAGGGATTCCTTGATGTAATGAATAATTGACTGATATCATTTCTAAATACAGCAGAAAGTTGAAGGTACGATTGTAGCAAACTGACTAAACATAAGCCTGGTTCAGAAGGATCTTGAACCAAGTCCAATTCTACCGGACCAGGAGAAAAATGGGATGTTTTTTGTCTGCCTTTTAGTATAATATGGAAACCTCCCGGGGTCCTGGACAACCAAGGATCTGAAATATGGATTTGAGTTAACTTGGCTCCTCTAGCTGCCAGGGCCAAGGACAGTAGAGAAGCCAACTTAATAGCAGTCCACCGTAAATCAATTTTAGCATTATCCAAAGAATTTAGGAAATTTAATAAGACATCTACATCCCAAGTAAATGTGTAGCGTGGGGTATATGGGTGGCAGACGGATAACCCTTTTAGTAATCTCAAATACAGGGCATCCTGAGTAAGGTTGGGGATCAGGCAGTTTAAAGCAGATCCATAGGTCTTGATTGAACTGACAGATAAACCAGAATGGAACTTAAGGGTAAAAAAATTCTAAAGCCAATAGAACGGTATCAGATCCCTGTGTGTTAGACAGAAAATAAACCTCCCATTCTTTGAATTCCTCAATCCTCAATCTTTCTATATCTTACCCTAGTTCTACATCTTAAAGATGAGTTAATAATATCCAAGACCTGATCCGATAAAAGGGGATGTGTTAACAGCCTACCAGGGCTGCGATCCACATCAGCTGCGGGAGCTTGAGCAGAAGATCGCTGGTTCCCTGAAAGCAGTCCACTGTCATGCCCAATGGGATCTTGGTTCCCTTGACTAACTAATGGATCAAGGGATACCAGGGTCTGGAAGTCCATACTGGATAAATGAGAACTAAGCTCTGCACCCTGTCCCTGCGTATCTTCTCCAGCACTTTCATCAGTAAAGATGGAGGGGGAAAGCATAAGGGTCTGGAACATCCATCCATTGGAAATACATTGCATCCATTTTCCAAGCTCCCTTTGTCCAGGTCCGGGAGACAAACCTGGGAGTTTGTGCAGATGTTTGGGATGCAAACAGATCTACCTATCTCTAAAATTGTTTTCTATCCATTGGAAAAGAGCAATCTTTAATTGAATCGTTGCCAGGGACAAACTTTGGCGAGAGAGAGAGTCTGCAAGCTCGTTCGCCTCTCCCGGAACGTATTCTGCGAAAACCTGAACATTGCTTGCTAAAGCCCAAGACCAAAGATCTAGATCCTCTAAGCAAAGACCCCTTGATCTTGTGCCCCCTCTGTGGTTTATATAAGCCACTGCTGTCCTGTTGTCCGATTGGACTTTTACCGACGTCGGTGACTGGTTTAGAGGAACTAGGCCCTGGAGAGCTAATTTTATAGCTCGTAACTCCAAGATGTTTATATGGAGGTGACTTTCTTGATCTGACCAAATTCCTGTTATGGCGTTCTGAACTGTAAATGCACCCCAACTGTGACTTGAGGCATCTGACGTCAAAATGACTGACACAGGCTGCTCTAACAGGGGACGAGGAATTGGAATTTCTAACTCCATTATTCGGACGTGCGCATGACGTCACAACATCAACACACGCGCACATTCTGGGGTCAGAGGTCACCCTCTGATCAATCAGAGCCCAGAGAGGGATATTTAAATCCCTAATTCACTCCAGTTCCTTGCCCTGTCGAGGTTTCCTGTTCCTGGTTCCCGAGAGTGCGTTTATCCTTGTGATTCTGATTTCCTGGTATTCTGATCTTGGCTTTTCCTGGTTATTCTGATTTCTGGTTCCCCTGACTTTGGCTTGTTTAAACGGTATTTGAGTGTTTCTGGCTTCCCTGACCTCGGCTTTCCCTTTGAACATTCTCTATCTCTAGCATATTAGTCCGGCTATTCTAAGGACCAGTTTAAGGTCTGTCCTTTTATTTTTCCTTTCTTTTTCTATGTATATGTTTTCATAGTTTTTGCGTGTTGGACCACACTAGCAGTCGTGACATGTATGCTGGTGTTAAAGCTATTAATTTCCCAATTAATCTTTGTTAGGTCTCTCAACGACCAACTCTGGTGCCTGAGAGATGAGTTCAGATGTACAAGTAATTTGTCCCATTTGTCTTGAGGGATTCCTAGAGACATAGTCCTGGTGTTCAGTATGAAACCTAGAAAGAGGATGCTTTGAGTGGGAATTAGGACTATTTTCTGTAAATTTACTACAAATTCCAGGTCTTGTAAAAGGGAAGCAAGGTAATCCCTTTGAAAAGCAAGGACTTCCCCATCTGGGTGCATGAGCAGGGTGTCGTCTAGATAGTACAGACACACAAAACCTTTTAGTCTGACGTGCTATCACTGATTTCATAATTCTGGAGAATGTGTATAGTGCGTTAGATAGGCCAAACACCATAACGGTCCACTGCCACACTTTTCCTTTCCACTGAAACCTGAAAAAACGCCTGTGTTTCTTGGCTATGGGGACTGAATGGAAGGCATCTTTTAGGGCTAACTTCATGCAGAAAAAAGCTTTCTGTACTAAGCCTGGAAGATCTGATAAACCCTCCATCCTGAACCATTTTTTGTTTTGATGAAAGCGTTCAGAGACCTCACGTTTAGGACCGGTCTACAGGAACCGTCTGATTTTGGGATTGGGAACAATGGGCTGACCCATCCTGTAATAGACATGTCTGCCAACTCTATCTTCCCTTGACTTAAAGCTAAGGAAAGGGAAGCATCTAGTACTGGGTTCACCTATCTGTGGAGTGCAAATTTCTGGACTGGGAACCTTAAAAGAGGGAGTTGTAAACCCCTTTGAAAAATCTTTAGAACCCATTTGTCTGAGGAAATATCCTTCCAATTTAGTGGCATATGAGGAGGCACACTTACTTGAATGCATGGGTTTTCTTTTGGAAGCTGAACCGCCTCTGGAACGCGTTCCTCTGCCACCGCCCAGGAGCTTGTGTCTTCCACTGTAGTGGCGGTACTGGGCCTGGTGAAAGGCTTCTCGGGACGGACCTGCAGACCTATAGGGGTGACCCTCTGTCTGAAAGGGCTTTTTATAGCCAGGGATGGACTTCTTGAGTTCTGAAAAGGATCTCCTTGCTTGTAACGGCCTTTAACCTCCTGAATGAACGAGGGACCGAATAGGTTAGAATCCTCCAAATTTGGGAACTCATGCGATTTGGGGGCTAGGTCGGACAGACCTGCTGCATGGAGCCAGCGGGATCTGCGGATGTTTGATATGTAATTAAAGGATTGGACAATAATTAGTACTGTCCTGCCAGACGCTTTTAAAAGAGCCATCTTAGATGCCATCAGAGATGAAGCGGAAGGTTTCTGAGCATTGCCTTCTTTTTCTGCCTTATCCAGCATCATTAATAGTGGGCCCACAGCATCAGCAATTTTGAACTGTATATTGCGAAAAAAAGTCTGGTTTGTGGGATCAGAGGATATGCTGCTCCCTGTGATAGATAACAGAGCAGGATCTACCTCTGGAGCCATTAAAGCCTGAATGTCCAGGATACCAATGTGGTTCCTGAGGAGAAGGCTAGTTTAGCGAAATCTCTAACCTCAGAATCATGCTCCATAGGCCATCTGGAGTGAAATAATTTTGATGGGAGAGTCTTTCCTAGGAGACTTACTCTGGCCATCTGAACATTGCTTAGCTTCCCTCGCTCAGTGGAAGCTGCTGTACGTACCACTTCCTCGGATTCCCAGTCTATTTCTGTAGAGCCGTATCTGGAATGGCTTTATGAGGAAGAGTGAGCGAACGCTCTAGAAGAGGAAGGAGAGGAACTATCTAACCTCCGAGATTTGTCCTTTTTCTCTGGAAGGTGTTTCTGGTGCTCAAATGAGGTAAACACACTATTCCTTTTTTGGGGTCCTGTCCCCTTAAATTTACGCTTACTCAAACGAGTATGAGTGGAAGGAGGAGCAGAGAAGTTTTCCTTAGACGAGGAACTGGCGGAAGAGACCAGCCGCCTTCCTTTATTCTTTTTACTTAAAACTGGGACAAAATCCTCCTCAGAAGATGAAGAGGATGGATCCCTGGCAAGGAAAGATCTCTTTCTAACATTGATGGGGCTGCCTTTAAGAGAGGCATCCACTAAATCTGTGGCAGACACAGAAATAGAGTCCTCCATCAATAATGCTATTTTAAAAATCTGAGGCAATCAGGATTCCCGCGTTTAGAACGGCTCTCCTGATTATCTGATCGGCTGAAAGGCTGTTGCTGTGCAGATGCACAGCGCAAGCCTTTTCAGCTCTAGCATTTGACTCCGGGACAAAAACCCAGAACTCCTTGGCAATACAGATCACAATAATGAAGAGTATGCATGAGTGTGTCACAAAGCTCCTCAGCAATAAACTGCTGGTAATGTGAATAATGTGGTGGCTATGCGTGATTGTGTTTGTGTACTGAGTTTGACTGCCTTGTTCGAGGTGGCTGTTTTGTTTATTTTTAAATCTTACAGGGCTCCCTTATCCAGAGTGGTTTGCATAGATTAACAATTTATACAAACAGTGAAAATAACATTTTAATATAGTCAATACATTCATTTTAATATAATTGGGTATATAGACAATAAGAACAATTATTGAACATACAAGGACAGCAATGTTACATAGAACTAATTATAGAACAATTAAAGTTCCACTGAGCTATGTTATATATTTTCCTCAACAAAACTGATGTTGTAGCTAAGGGAGGCAAGGTTCAGGATAAAAGATGCTCAGATAGGGATAGGGGTATTGGGAAGGGATCAGAGTAGGTGAAAAGAGGGGAGACAGGTGGCTATTTCTATAATTCAAGAATAATAGAGTCTAGTCTAGACCAGATGGAATTTATAAATGGAAAATAAGGACTTTTATATTTTAAATGCACAATTTCAGAACAAGTCAGTTTTGTTATCTGAAGCTGCACATATTTTATTGTTATCATTTTGTGTTTGCAGAACACAGTGTAACAATGACTTGATTTTAGCCAATGTTATGTGCGCAATATTTCTTTATTCCCCACCATAAGTTCTCACTTGGTAAACACTTGAGTGGTTTTCCTGTCTTTTTGTAATGGATCACTAGCTTTCATAACAATTGTTAAGGACATTTGCACGTCCTGTAGATTTTTTATGGGGAAAACATTTCTTTAAGCTATATATGTATTTATTTGTTCTCTCCCGCCAAAATAAATATATCAGAAAGAAGGAGCTAAAATATTTCAGTTTTGTATTTTTACAATAAACAAAGGTTTTAAAATATACTTTAGTAAATATGTTTGCAATAATCTTAATATATGTTGAAATGTATTGCTTTTGCTAAACAGATGCATTAAAAAGGGTTATTTACTAAAGTGAGAATTCACAAAGTTCAATATAAAGCCAAAGTAGCTGGCTAATTTGACCATTTTGACCTTAAATTTGAAAATTCACTTCCATTTATCACTATAGAAAATAACTTTGTCAACACACACACATGCCAATATTATTTCCTGTTTATTTTCCGCTGCTTTCACTCTACAGTATCCAGAAGAACAGTCCTGTTCTAACATTCCCTGCTACTAAGCTCCTTATCCATTCCCTTGTCTTCACCAACCTAGATCACTGCAACTCTCTCCTGCTTGGTCTCCCTCAAAAATCAATTACTTCTCTCCAGCAAATACAAAGTTAAACAACCTACATCCTTATCAACTTGCCTCAGTCTGCTCATGCCTTGCCTCTCCTTCCAAAACTGCCATCCTATTCATCATTGCTCTGTTTTCAAATACCTCACCCTTGTATACAAATTACTATACAACCTTGCCCCCTCCAGTCTCCTGTATACTATACTTGTTATACCCACACCCAACCTCTCTGCTTGTATTCTACCACATCCTTAATATCACCCACATACCCATGTGATCATTTGCAATTCCTCTCATTCCCAATCCTAGCCTCCGACTAAGGGAGATGTAGCCAAATCTTCATGAAGGGCTAAACAAATCTCAATTTAATGAAAGCCACACTTGGCCTTTTATGACAATCCCCATGCAAGGTGTACGCCCACATGGACCTTGTTGTGGACTCTAACACAAATACAGACCAATAAGAACAGAGATTAAATGCCCAACACTATACTACTATACTAATTCTAATCCAATTATCTCCAAGCACAGAAAAAAACATACTTTTTTTAAAATAACCCAAAGGTACCTTACAAATACATAAAACCCCACGAATGTTACATCCCCTGATAGCCCTGATCTGGGTGACCAACACATCAAAAAATCACCTAGATCAGTTCAGGGATTCAGAAATTTCCTGGAAGTCATTTATTTGACCAACCGCAGGCATGGATCCAAGCACAAAATAGTTCCAGAGAATCAATGCTTGCGGTCAGGTCTAGTTCGGTAGTTTGAAAATGAACAAACTACCGAACAGAGTCAATAGTCTGACCCTGGAGCTTGTTCCCTTCATCCATATGAATGATCCCACCAAACAGTGCCCTTCTAAGATGAATAGAACCGAACGCAGGCAATGATGGAAGTCCAGCGGTGTTCATGAGTTTCTGTATCAGATTTCAGTACCAGGAGATTCATGCCCAAACACCATTGCCTGCATTCAAGTGAACAAGATGGTCACCACCTCGTGGTTGTTGATAGGAATTGCGGCCACCCAGACGAACAATTAGAACACTGGGGTGAGAAATGTTCCACTGGGGTCTCTGTTCGTGCGGTTGTTCGGTAAACATAGAAACATAGAAACATAGAATGTGACGGCAGATAAGAACCATTCGGCCCATCTAGTCTGCCCAATTTTCTAAATACTTTCATTAGTCCCTGGCCTTATCTTATAGTTAGGATAGCCTTATGCCTATCCCACGCATGCTTAAACTCCTTTACTTGTTTATCTCTACCACTTCAACTGGAAGGCTATTCCATGCATCCACTACCCTCTCGGTAAAGTAATACTTCCCGATATTATTTTTAAAACTTTGCCCCTCTAATTTAACACTATGTCCTCTTGTTGTGGTAGTTTTTCTTCTTTTAAATATAGTCTCCTCCTTTATGTATTTAAATGTTTCTATCATATCCCCCCTGTCTCGTCTTTCCTCCAAGCTATATATGTTAAGATCCTTTAACCTTTCCTGGTAATTTTTTTTTTTTTTTTTCTGCAATCCATGAACCAGCTTAGTAGCCCTTCTCTGAACTCTTTCTAGAGTATCAATATCCTTCTGGAGATACGGTCTCCAGTACTGCGTATAATACTCCAAGTGATCTCACAAGTGTTCTGTATAATGGCATGAGCACTTCCCTCTTTCTACTGCTAATACCTCTACCTATACAACCAAGCATTCTGCTAGCATTTCCTGCTGCTCTATTACATTGTCTGCCTACCTTTAAGTCATCAGAAATAATCACCCCTAAATCCCTTTCCTCAGATGTTGAGGTTAGGACTCTATCAAATATTCTGTACTCTGCCCTTGGGTTTTTACGTCCAAGATGCATTATCTTGCACTTATCCACATTAAATGTCAGTTGCCACAATTCTGACCATTTTTCTAGTTTACCTAAATCATTTGCCACTTGGCTTATCCCTCCTGGAACATCAACCCTGTTACATATCTTAGTATCATCAGCAAAAAGACATACCTTACCATCAAGACCTTCTGAAATTTCACTAATAAAAATAAATGAACCATATAGTCCCAATTGCATGAACAGAGCCTTGTTTAAAGTATTTTAGCCAGGTTTATTGCAGGGGCCATAGTCACAGGGTAGGAGGCTGGCAAACAGGCCGCTTCAAAAGCCAGTGGCGAAGTTACTTTTGTCACACATAACATCTGATTGTACATAACTAAGTTAATGTTAAGCTATGCCATTCTCTTACATCATGATGCATTCAACAAGAGAATACATATATTGAATCTCTTTATGAAGAAAATAAGATGTCTCAGTGGCTGCGTTCTAGGTATGGAAGAGGAAATAGTGTGTAGGCAAACTAATACAAGATATAAGTGGAAGTCAGTATATATTACTTAAAGGATCACTATAGGCACCATGATCATTTTATCTCAATGATGTGGTCTTGCTCCAGTGGCCCTATAATTTTAACCCTTTAATGTAACGTTGTCATTTTGTAGAAATTGCTATGTTTCCTGACAGACACAAGAAGCACATTTACCTCCATAACCAAGTTAGAATTGGTTCTTCAATCAAATGGTGCTCATGCATATCTCGTATCCAATGATACTCTGAGTAACACTGGATTGGGCAAGAATGCTGATGAAGGTGGAGATAGCGATGGAGCCGGTGACAGCAGCAGAGGTGTCTTGGCACTGTAAACGAGGTTAGTAATCTTTATTTAGCTTCACTTTCCTATATCAAAAGGGTGGGGACAGTGGTCACACCGATTGAAGAGAAAAACAATTGTTATTTTTGGGACTATATTTCCCTTTAACCACTTCATTACCAAAATCAAGTATAAACATTTTTATTTTAATGCATTTTGCATAATGAAATCTATTCC